AGTCTGGAGAAAGCAGAACTAACGGCTAATGATATCAGTATAATCGGCATACGCCGGCAGTTGTTTACTCTTATATAAGATAGTACCTTCTCGATTAAGTTCTGTAGCTCGAATTATTTTCAATTATTTTCTACAGATTGAAATAGTCGCGTGATAGGGAGTCTGAAATCTCGTTTTATATAGAACGGCTCTAAGATGTTCTTCCCGATCCTGATGGAGCTCTTGGAATTGCCCAACTTCAGTTTACACAGCCGTATTAGTTTTGCGAGGACACCAAATTCAGWTATCGCCCCATAAACGCAGCTCATTTTCTGTCCTGTGGTGTATGTCGATTCGTTGCTCAAGTTTATTTTCCTAGATTTGACGCATGGTGAGCATCTGTTCGTTTGTTGGTTTTCCGGATCTAAAGTCACACTGATAAGGAAAATCGTTTTTAAACTCTGCAACATGTTGCTACAGAGTATGATAGCTTTTTTCACCTAATGGTTGTATATTTACACTGTATATAAATGATCAGGATAACGAGTCGAGTTGAGACATGGCTGGCTGCCTGTCTGTCCGCCCGTCCGTGTTATAACTTGAATAAAAGTTTAGATATCTTGATAAAACTTGGTACACATGTTCCTTGACAAAAAAAAACAAAATCCACTCAGGATAAATCCCATAAGCACTCTCACGGAGAGTGTAAAAATTAATATAACATGATAAAATTTTACACTAACAATTCCTTTATCTTATGCCAACATATTACCAAAAAAAAAATTTTTGCATTCAAATCCCACCAAAATTGTGAAAGCTCCTAAATACCAGAAGTGCGGGGGTCTTTATGACCGAAAATATCGGTTAATGTATATGATGTACAATTAAAACATTGAGAAAATCTACTCCTGATAATAATATCTCTGTGTATTTAAAATGGGTTGAATCGGATCAATACTTCCCTGAGTGATTTCATTGTGAAATTTTCGTGAAATTGTTTTTTTTTTTGCATTATAGGATAGTATACTATAATAAACATTCTCTCAAATTTTGGAATCGAAATTCAAACTATTAAGGACGCTATAACGTTTCTTGTAAGAAGGGAACAGAGTGGGGAACATAACGACTCCAATCTTTTTTTTCTCAAAATAGTGTTCTTTCTACTCTCAAAGGAAGAATTTTGCAAATATTTAGTTCTAATTTGGAGAAAACATTTTTAACGTCATTCGCTATCGCGTTATGGAAGCTTTTATTTTTTTTTAATCTTTCTATTTTTTTCTACGAAAAACTCAAATTCGATACTTTTTGTTCCGATCGCCGATATTTTATTAAATGAACAAAATAGCAAAAAAGGCTTCCATAGTGCGTTAGCGACTTTCCTATAGATTAATAATGTCATTTCAACAATTTATTTAACTATTATACACTCAGTAAATAAACATAAACAAAATARTTAGTCATGAATGTATTTATTTAAAAAAATAAATCGGACTGATTAGTTAATTTCAACATTAAAAAATCGCGAAAATCAGTGATTTTTCGGAGGGACAGGATGATACAGCCCACATTAATCTAATTGAATTATTTCTGACATAAAAGTCAGATTTGTACCCTATACTGGTCAAAATGTAAGATATTAAACGAAGTTGACATATTTTTTTTTTTTTTGAATTGAGCACATAAAATCACAAGTACACTTCCATATCTTCTCACACTGTATACATACATAACTCAATAACAAATTACGTTATGCGACTCATATTTTCTGAGGTAGGCTTGGCAGCTATCTAAAGATTTAAGTCTAGAAATAMGAAAAAGTCGTTTTTTTTTGTTATTTGCAAAAAGTCAAATAATTATATATAGATATAGGTATAGGTATTTTTTTAACTTCAAACATCTTTATCTGTCTTTTTCAAAACGATACTCACGATTCCTCAGGTTGTACTGGACCCATTTACCAGAATTTTTTATAGAGTCTTCTTTACAGACTTTTCTATTTCTCAAAAAAAATTTTAAAATATTAAACAGTCAAAAAACCTACACAAAATATTTTTTTTTATTTTTAGGCAGTCGCCATTTCGTGATATTTTTTCCCAATTTTTTCGCAGAATCAGACATTGTGACTTTATTCTAATTGAAAATKTATTTCTTTTTGGTTACAGATTCGTAATTAATAGAGGGAGAAATTGTTATCTTGGTAAAAAAAATGGCTTTTTTTGCGAATTTATTTCTTAAATATGGATTGATTAATTTTATTTCGACCTTTTGTACATTTTTGAGCATACCTTTGACAATAGCGGGTTTTTTTTCGTCAATTTTTTAGTTTATAAATTTTAGGTGTGTTTTTCTCAAAACTACTTTTCAAAGTCCGTGTTCACTGTCCGATTCATTTTAAACTGTGTACACAATCTTTAGTATAAATTTTTTGGTTGTTTTCTACGCACATGTCGGAAATTTTTAGTGGGAAATAACAGTTTTCACTTCAAATGTCCGCCAAAAATTTTTAAATGTAAAACAAATTATTAGAGAACGATGGGTTAGATAATTTTCAGCCGAGTTATGGTGAACACACAAAGTGTTCTTTCTCAAGACGTTCTGGGAGAAGCTCTGTTACCTGCTTATGCTTCAATATTTCTGCATGAAAAAATTATCCTATATTGTAAAAAGTATGGTCAATAATGTTCAAAAGTTCCGAATAAAATTATTCAGTCCATATTTAAGAAATAAATTCGCGAACAAAGTATTTTTTTACCCCAAAAACCTTAACCCCCACATAAGTCACAAAACACAAATCGCATATTTTACTTTTCATTTTGTGTAGCAGTATTTAATGTAAGAAATTGTTTTAACAATTATAGAATATGAAGTATGAAGTTGTGACTATTTTCACCGCAAGGTATCCATCTTTTTAGTTAATGACTTAAAACATATTCTTGCGACGACCTCATCATGTCAGCAAATACAATGGCAAGCATTTGCTCGTTTCCCTGCCTTTGAGTACCCCAAGAGTGAAATATAACAAGCGTTAAGTATGTTTGTTCTCCATTCAACTACCACGTTTTAAATGACAAATTTTGTCTGCTTACAGAATTAAGTGGAATTTGCACRAAGTCTGTACTATTTGTTAAATGGGAATTAAAGTTGTACACCGTAGTTAGTTTAAGATAAGCAGACTTTGAAAATCACTCAAATCGACACAAAAACATATCCTTAAAGGAAGTGAAAACATTGCAAATACAGTGTGATAAAGTACTTAAATGTTGTGATAATAGAATTTATGTTTTGAAGTCTACATATATTCAGATGCTTATCATCAGAAAGAGGCCGCTATTTTATGCCTTAAAAAGCAACTTTAATAATAAAGCACTTAAACTTACCCTAATAGCAGAAATTATTTTTTAGATCAGGGAATAAACCATATTTTTTTKTATTAAATAAAAAATTTTAACTAACACTCAGATAATAAATTCTTACATACCTATGTTAATAAGTGACAATCTCTTTGAGCTATATAAAAGTTTAGGCAAAATATTTCATCCATTTATAGATCATACTACGGAAGAGCTAAGTTCCGGTTAAAGTTTGGTATTTTATTATGTTATATTAAAGTTGTAAACTCAATAAATTTAATAACTATATTTTACTTCTCCTCAGCGAAAAGATTATTAAAATCATCCTCAAATGAGATACAAGTATATCTAACACAAATTTAGAGGGAGAGACGTCAACTAGAAGATCGGAATTGATAATATTAGAAATTGAGATTAAAGAGCTATACCAGTATGACACTTTCAAAAAATTTAATTCCCGTTTGTTTTTGCTTTTTCGTAAGTTTATATTTTCAAAAATWTCCTGTGAAATCAGTAAGCTCGTATTTTGACTAATTTTTGAATGAAGCTTTAAACACGTTTTTCTCGAAACGATATTTTTCAAAATTGCTGGCATCATAACTCAACGAGAAATTGGCCGATTGACTTCAAATTGAAATATATATACCTTATTATGTCCAAAAGACGATCCCGTACTTTCTTTAAAAAAATTCGCGAAAATTGTCTCATTTTTCATGGGTTACACTGGTATAGTCCCTTAAGACCTTGATCTAGACTAACTCCATTCATTTCCACCAGTAACATAATAATGTTTGTTAGAATAGCAATACATGCAGTATTATATAATATATTTTCAATATTATGTGTTCAGTTAAGATATCTTGCATAGTTTATAAAAGTKTTTGCCATAGCTTTAAGAGAGATATGTGTAGTATTGGCCCGGTTTATTCCATTTTTTTCATTTCTACATTTTAATAACAGAAACATATGCTCTCTGAGTTTCGTTAAGGTACCTCACATACCAACAAAATAAATAGATTATATGTGGTCTGAGGCTAGTTTTCGTCATATTTTATTCATATTTAGGCATAGAAATGTACCGTCAGGAGAAAAACCTGCTCGCTCAATTTCATTAAGATGACTCAAAATATTGGCCCGTAAACATATGTTATGTAAAGACAGCCAGAAGTTTGAAAATCGTTTGATTATGTATACCTGGACTAAAGGAAATATTGACCAGATTCAACCCATATTTGACGTACAGACATTCTTATACCAGGAAAGGAATATCTGCTAATTTCAATTATATATCTAACACAAGTAGTAAAAATTCAAATAACTACATTATCCTGACATATTTACATACGTACGAGTATGTATGTCGTTGATGACAACTTTTAAAAGCTAATTTTAATTCTTTGGTTAATTTGTTAATTAAAATTATCAGTTTAGTATTTTTCTCTATTCATGTATGCACATTTTCTGTTGTACGATGACAAGCTTTTTACATTAAACGAGCACTAACGAAATTAAAACATTCACATCCAATTGTAATGTGTTAATACCACAAAGTAAACAAACCAATTTCAACTTATTTAATTAGTCCAGTGGGGGACCAACTCTTCAATACACCAAGTAACTCAGACGCACATTTTTGTATTTTTATTTTTTGTATTTGTAGGCTCTGTTCATCAACACACTTTACTAGTTAATTCTAATTTATCAGATAAAATTGTATGCACTTGTTTCTGCTAGTAAAATATACTTTTATTATGGTGTTATCAATTTCAATCAAATGCTGGTACCATTTGCCGTCAATATACTTGCGATCCTGCGAGTTCAAACGTCGCGCGTTAACTGAGCTATTGCTCTTTGCAGAAGCTTCCTTAAATATTATACCATATTCATACAGGTGCACATTTAGGATGCTGTTAGCGTCGACGTAGTTGCTGCTGAAACAACTTGCGCCACCCCTAACATCTCTTCACTTTTATGTTTCAACAATCTCGTCACCCGTTGGTGAAATACTGGAAGCCTTCCTTGATTGGTTAAAAAGCTTTAACGATGACAACCTCCACCAAACAAATGGTTGGAAAAAGCTAAGGATTTAAAGGGAACGAGAAACTTTTGTTGGGTATTAATAACAAAGCAATGAAGGAGCTTAACAGGAGACRCCGTCCCTAAATAAAAGCGGCACGGCAAATTACTTTACATAATTCTTCATGCCTATAGATCTTGTATGGAGCATACCTGTATATACGCGACGGCAAAGCTGAGTGTTGGAAATTTCTTTTTACCAACGCATTAAAGTAAAATTGTGCGCATTTCTTTTGTACCAATTTTAGAATTTAAGTCAGACTTTGACGCAAAGGTACTACTTTACACAAGGATGTCGCGACTCTTAGTTACACCAGATAGCTTTGAAGTTGTAGATAATTTCGTCTATCTTGGAACCAGCGTAAACACCACCAACAATGTCAGCCTAGAAATCCAACGCAGGATAACTCTTGTCAACAGGTGCTACTTCGGACTGAGTAGGCAATTGAGAAGCAAAGTCCTCTCTCGACAAACAAAARCCAAACTCTATAAGTCACTCATAATWCCCSTCCWGCTATATGGTRCAGAGRCTTRGACGATGWCAACAACKGATRAGTCGAYGWTGMGAGTTTTCGAGAGAAAAGTWCTGCGAAAGATTTATGGTCCTTTGCGCGTTGGCCAACGACGACATTGACATAGTTCAGCGAATTAAAAGACAGCGGCCACGCTGGCTAGGTCATGTTATCCGGATGGACGAAAACACTCCAGTTCCGAAAGTATTCGACGCAGTACCCGCCGGGGGAAGCAGAGGAAGAGGAAGACCTCCACTCCGTTGGAAGGACCAAGTGGAGAAACACCTATCTTCACTTGGAATATCTAATTGGCGCCACGTAGCGAAAAGAAGATACGACTGGCGCGCGGTTGTTAACTCGGCTATAATCACGTAAGCGGTGACTAAGCCAATCAAGAAGAAGAAGATAGTTGTTACGTGAAACAGTTTTGTGTACGCTTTCAAACTCTTCGAATTCATCTCAAACGCAGAAATCAAGTTTGTTTTCATTTGAACAATGTTGTCATTGTTCAATACGCATATATAGTTTTATACACATCTATGTTTTCATTTACATTTTTTTATAATATAAAATATCAAAACTGAAAACCAACATATTGAACAGATTGAATTATAAAAGTTTATTAAAATTATTATAAGTATTATTAAAATTACTACAGTATATAGATATTGGCAACGCTATCGACATTCTAAACATATTGTAATGTTAACTTGCTAGAATATCAAAGACGAATACCCAATTTTCAAGAAGAAGAAACGAAAAGCGCAGTTTATTTTGGATTTTAAAGAGGTAAGTTCGTTATTTGATAATTTTATAATTAATTTCTATTATATGTACATATATATACACACCTGCTCAAAATAATAGTTACACAATACTTTTTCAAGTAAAGCACATGAATAAAATTTATTATTATTATTATTTAAATTTTTAAGAAAAACGCAAACGTACTTATATTTTTCAAATATTTACAAGCTTATTTAAATAAAATTTAATAAAAAAAAAGCAAAACAAACAAATGTAGATTGAAAAACATTTCATAGCTCAAATAAACTTGTTCAAAAGAATAGGTACACTTTTAATAAGGCAATTATTTTGGAAAAATATATTATGATACAACAGTTTTGTTGTATATACTCAGTTAATAGCCAGTATATCCACCATTATTCTGGATTACTTTATTTATTTGTTTGGGCATACTACTGATTAAGGTCTGACAGGTTTCTTTAGGTATCTCATACCAAGTTTTTCGTATGCACTCCCATAACTGCTTGGAGGTATGCTTTGGGTCATTATCTTGCTGAATTTAACCTCATATCTAAATCTGCTATCACAAATAGTTTTTGTGGCCTTCCACGAGTCTCCCTACTAGATTTTCAATCCAAAGCATTTTTAACAAAATAATGAGACCTTTCCATTAATTTTCCAATTTCCCGAAGCGATTTTCCTAACTTTCTGACGTTTGAAACCAGCCGGGCTTCTTCAACAGTGCAATGTGACTTCCGACCCATCTGATTAAAAAATAATTTAATGTATCTGCAGCAATTTGAGCTTTAATGAAAGAAAACTTACCAATTCAGATAAAAAAAAAAACTTGAAAAACTGGATAAAATTAATTTTGTTTTCACAAAAAGCTAAGTTCACCTATCTGTAACTATTATATTGAGAAATTTTTTTCTGAGAATTCACGCAAAATTGACACACGCATTAATTCGGGGGATCATATGCTTCATTACCTTAGTAAGGGCGAAGCTATATTATCTTAATTAAACTTACAGCATAACTTGTCGAATACAGCCCATAAAAAGTTTTTTAAACTGCTGAGAGTACAAAGTTTTATCGTGTAACTATTATATTGAGCAGGTATGTATATATTATTAATTTATTTTATATATAAAAGCGAGAAAAAGGTAAGCATTGTGAATTTAATGTTGTGTGTATAATTAAAAACTTTAATATTAAAGAAATCATTTGGAGCATTTGGAAAATTAAAATATATTGCGTATAACAAACAAATAAGGGAGTAAGTTTTAAATTATTAAAGTTAAATAGTGAATATTTATTTAAAATATGTAAATTGTGCGTTATATCTACATATATATATACATACATACATGTGTGAATGTAAAAAATTTAAAATCTAAATTGAAACRAATTGTGCGGTTCCAATTATAATTGAGTCGACTTCAGAATACCGTCGCAGGATTTAAATCGAAAAATACGTTCTGCGAATAGTGGTAATTTACAGAAATATTTCGAATATTCCCGCGAGTATAACTATATATATTTTTGAACTGGAAAACCTCCTCTATAACTAAAAATGTTCATTTGTTCTCCCAAGATATCGTATGGAGAATATCTAAAATTGCATAAAATAAAAACAACATTAGTGTTTCATAATGAATAAAAGTGAACATAGTTCAAATATACAGGGTGGCTGATGAAAGCCGCTACCAAAAACAATTAAATAACTTTTTTTCTATTTAATGAATCTGGTAAATTTTTTTTTTGTAGATTGACTTTTACATTTAACGAAAATGGATAACTGGGACACTGAAACAAGAATTTGGATTGTCCGCCGCTATCATTCACTGGAGCCCGTAGTTTCGATTCAAAAAGAGTATAGGTGCACGTTTGGCGGCAATCCTCCGAGCAGATGGACCATAATAAGACTTCTAAACAATTTTGCCGAGCATGGGACAGTCAACAGAAGACCTTACCATCGAAACCCTTCAGTTTGAACGGGGCTGTAGCTGCTGCCATACAAAACAATCCACGTGTTTCGACAAGAAGCTTATCTGCTCAAATGGGTGTAAGCAGACAGCCATTATAGTCAATTATGCACAAAGATTTGGACTTATTCCCATATAAATTTCAAATGGCCAACAAACTGAACGCTGCAGACTTGCCGATTCGCTTGGAATTTTGCCAGAAGATGCTTCAAATRGTGGAAGAGGTTGGAAACATGTTGAACTGTCTTTTCATGTCTGACGAGGCCCATTTCGATTTAAACGGCAACATAAACAAACAAAATTGTCGAATATGGAGTGCTTCTAACCCACAATACTCCATAAGACGGAATTGCATCTACTTCGTGTCACAGTGTGGTGTGCAGTTTCATCACGCTGCATTGTCGGGCCCTACTTCTTCGAAGAAACGGTCACACCGTTACGGTTACTGGAGACCGTTACTTGAGCATGTTGAGAGAGTTTTTCTATACAGAATTACGCCGAGAATTTCTTTCAACTCTGTGTGGTTTCAGCAAGATGGTGCAGCTCCTCACATAGCCCAATCTGTTATGACAGAATTGCGACGAAAATTTCTCAATAAGCTGATATCCAGAAACTCCACATTCCGTTGGCCACCCAGGTCGCCTGACCTTACTGCACCGGACTTTTTCTTGTGGGGTTATTGCAAGCAGGAAGTCTACAAAGCAAAACCATTCGACATTCGAGAAACAATTGCGGCTATTCCTGTCTCAACTCTCCAAGCAGTAATGAACAACTTTTTGGTAAGATGCCGCAAATGCATCAACGAGCAGGGGGGGCATTTAAATTCCAATATTTTTAAAACTAATTAAGCTATATTTAATAAAATTTAATAAGCTTTAACATGAATAAAAGAAAAATGGATTCCATACACCGAACAAAAAATTATTTGAGTTTCTTAATGTAGCAAAATTCATCAGCCACCCCGTGTGTACATATACGCATTTCTGCTCCGAAGCAGGGGTTTAAAATTAAATTAAAATTAAACTTTTTCAAGCTAGTTTCGAGCAAATGAGGGGTGTCTTTTTAAAATAGGATATTTGCATATTAATATTTTAAGCTATTTATATAGTATTGTCCTTAGTGCTGAAATACACAACTTCTTTACTTGGATGTGATCTCAAGAAGATATTTCGCAAGTAAAAAAAGGTTAAATTGTGAGTCCTAAACAGAAGTACTATTATTAGGTAAATCAGTAAATACTTATAATGTTTTCTAGTTTTAGAAAAATTAATTAAGAAGTAGATATTCTCTTTTAAACAGACATTTCTCAAATATATTTTCCTCCTGTAATATACTATTTGTAAGTATTTATAATACAAATCAAAAATCTTTATCAAACTAATCATGGCGGCAAAGACACACCWTTCAATTAGCCGCATAACCGGTGACTTGGAGGACGAGCATTACGTGGAGCTCGCTTCGAAACTGTCCATGTAATCGGAAGAGCACGTGCGC